ATCGTAACGACTGGGAGCACTCCTGGGGATGTAGTGGGCAGAGCCCAAGGTCACAAAACATGTTCCAATGCATGGGGTTCTCCTGTACAGGGAGAAACCGTCCAGCCACGCCACCCCCACCTCACCTGCAGGGATTCCTGATAGAGCTTCCGGTCTAATAGAGAAAAGAGGAGAAAGGAGAAATATCCTGCTGCAAGAGAAACTTTGTAGCAGTGCATGGCCCAAGGGAGACATCAGTATTCCACCTTGGGGTCATTATGGGAATTTTTTTAATGTGCCAAAGAAGGGCTTCACCCCAGGTAAGGCCCTAATTTAAGTGAAACGATGAGGCTCCTGGGTGGCTCGGTCGGTTAAGCGTCCAACTTCAGCTCAGGTCATCATATCGCGTTCGTGAGTTCCAGCCCCACATCGGGCTGTCTGCTGTCAGTGCAGAGCCTGCTTTGGGTTTTCTGTCTCCTCCCTCTGTCCCTCCCCCACTCTTGCGCTCTCACTCTCTCTCTCAAAAATAAACATTTTTGAAAAATAAAAGTAAAAGAAATGAAATGATAAAACCAAAAATTAAAGTGCTAAAATATAGTTTGTGATGAAAATCACTGTTCCCCATTTTTAGGATAAATCACAAAAAGGTAAGTGAAAATAATAGAAAATGACATTCCAGTTCTTTCTCAACGGGCTTTGAGTTGATTATAGCTCTTTGTGAGTGCATGAAAACCATTATAAAATGATTGCTGTATCCTTCCCCAATCTGCCTTTTTGGGGGACTATCAAGAGGAAAGAATGTTTCCCTCAGTGAAAGTCATGTGAGAGGAAGACCAGGGTATATAGCATTTAATTAGACAAGGGATCATCAATCCTTGCAGGACCGACACGTTGGGCAGGAGAGTTCTTTTTTGTGGAGGCCGTCCTGGGCATTGTAGGATGTTAAGCAGCATCCCTGGCCTCTACCCACTAGACGCCAGTAGCCTCCTCTCTCTCAGTTGTGACAACCAAAAATGTCTCCAGACATTGCCACATGTCCCAGAGGGAGGGATGCAAAATTTCCCCTGATTGAGTGCCATTGAACTAGACCTTGTTTTCATCCCCCTCAGGCCCGATGTCAGACGTTCAGAGTCTATCAGAATTTAGCCATACTGGCTTTTCAGGTACGTAGACAGTACAGCTTAAAAATGTCCACTGACAGTGAACTCTGTCTTTTTGATGGGCAGAGGGGACCATTGGAAGCTGCTATGTTACCAACTGGCTATCTCTTTCTAGAGACAGGAGTTGGCATTTTGTGTTGTCTTTCTGGCATCGTGCTCTTCTTCCTGCTAATTGCTCAAAGGAGAACTCCAGGAGCCTCAGGGATAATGACAATTTCTCTTTTACCTCTGTAGCCGAACTCTCAGGTGTCTGAGTAATGCTGTCACCCGAAGCATCTCTTTAAGTCTCCAGAGAGAGCTGCAGGAAATTACAGTGTATTGCAGAGAACTCTGATGTTAAAGAGGAAGGAAAGTCCTCAGAAAGAAAGGAAAGAAAGAAAGAAAGAAAGAAAGAAAGAAAGAAAGAAAGAAAGAAA